CAGTGACTATTTAAGAGCTTCACATTCCAAAATTGCTGCTTGCCAACACAAGTGCTGGTTTTAGTTGACTGATTATCCATCCATTATCTATACACCGCTTAATCCTCACTAGGGTCACAGGGGGGCTGGAATCTATCCCAGCCGACTTAGGGTGAAGGCAGGGGACACCCTGGACAGGTCACCAGTCTATCACACGGCTACACTTAGAGACAGACAACCAAGCACATTCATACCTACGGACAATTTAGAATCACCAATTAACCTCAACATGTTTTTGGACTGTGTGGGAGGAAGCCTGAGAACCAGGAGAGAACCCACTCTGCACGGGGAGAACATGCAAGATCCCAGGTGTCCTCACCAGGACGCAAACTGGCAACCTTCTTGCTGTAAGGCAACGGTGCTAACCACTGAGCCACCTTGCAGCCTGTTGAATGATCATAATAAATGTATTTGTGTCAACATAAAAATGAGGTCTGAAGACAAAAAAGTTTGATTTCCCCCACAGAGCAGCAGTCTTTGTCATCAATGCTGCCTAATTTTGCTCCTCTCAGTGAGTATGTTGGTTTGGAGTTGACTTGAGATGTAATGTTTAATGAGACATGGATGTAACACGACACCACTGCGTTTATATCATTCAGAAAAGAAATGCATTTCATTATTATTTCATTCTTCTAAGCATCTGTTCAGGTAAGAGTACAATCTATTTGTAATTACAGAAGGTTTGATCAAATGTGTAACTCTCCTCTCTGAAAACATCCCTGCCCACAGTGTGCAGTCTCTCCTCATCGCTGCGCTGTCATTGGTCTTTACAAATTTAAAATGTCAACAAATGTCAACATGTAGCTAACTGAATTGATTACAACGATTACAACCAGATTGCATTTTGAGCCTGACAAATGAATATGAACGCGAAAAGAAATATGTCAGGTTGGTCTATGAAGCCTCTGGATTTGCATGATATGAATTTCAATTTTTTGGGGCTGATGACACGATTTGTTCAGAGGAAGGGATCAGTTGACATTTTCTGTGGTTTTAACAACTATGCTGGCAGATGTGGAGTTTATTAAAGAAAAGGTACTTGATCTGTTGAGTGGTATAAAAGAACATTATACAAATATTATCAAATACATCAGGGTTTCTAAAAGACAGCATGAGTGAGGTGCAAAGGGTTCAGTGTCTATAAAGAATGAGTTCATGAGGAGTAGTCGTCCAAACATGTCTAAAGGCAAAAGAGCCTTTATTCAGAGGAAAAGTCTGGAGATACACAGAGGACTGAGGCTCTATGACTTTCCTTTTTTGTACAGCTTTTCCCTGAAGTAAATCACCTTGTTTATACTCAATTGTACACAAAATGGACAATATAAATAGTTGTGTTAGGAATTAAAAGCCTCAGAGAGAAGTTTTAGCAAAATGGTGAATTGACAGAAATATTTATTATATTTATATGTACATTTTTCTGTCTCATATGTGTGTATCTCTGTGTTTAATGCTGCTAACAACAATGTGAATTTCTCCACTGTGAGATAAATAAAGGCATATCTTATCTTAGAAATTGCAAAGACCAGAAAACACAAAAATTTACTCCAATAAGCTGAAACACCTTTCTGGAGGAGGTCAGAGTGTCCGATTCAGTAGACAGTTTAAAATCAAACCTTAAAACTATGTTTTTAGGTTTGCGTTTATGTAGTTTTTATGTATTTCAGTGTAATTTACTGGTGTCAGGCCTATTTCTGTATGTTTTATTTTCTTCTCTTTTCATGATGTAAAGCACTTTGAGTGGCACTTGCTGTATCAACTGTGCTATATAAATGAACTGTCGATGATGATGAAAGGATCATTAGTCTTAGCCATAAACCAGTCTCCTAAACACTGACTGATTTTCATAATTTAAAGGGTACTTGAGCATTTGCCTTTTTTGTGCTGAAGTGAACTGATCAGATGAACATTTCTGCTTCCTGCCTGTTGAACTGATCAGTGTTGTCACATCTGAGATCTCCACAATCGCTTGTGTGAATGGAACATTATTGCATTCCATTAAAGGCCAAAACAATAAAAATAAGAGCTCATTTATAATAAAGTGAAATTATTCTTGAAGGTGCATGAGATCAGGTCTACCGCTTGCACTGCGGAATAAGAAATGAAGGCTGGTGTTACGTTAGTCTTGCTCTTTAGCCTGTGTGTCAGGAAGAGAAGGAGAGGCACAGAGAGGAAAAGAGGGTGTTGTACTGGTAATTTATCACTGTGCTGTCTCTTGGTAAGTAACAGATTAAAAAACAGAGTTGGGGAAGAAAGGTTATAAAGGAATACATCACAAAGAGACAAGGAGCCGTGGCACTGTGTCCACACACACACACACACACACACACACACACACACACACACACACACGGACCATCCAGTCCTGCTCTGCTGTAATTACCATTCACTTCACAGCTGTAACTCTTTATTCCACTGTTGATGTCTGCTCATATTCTTTCTCTCTGTCTCTTGTTTCCCATCATGCTCTCCGATTCTTTCGCAGCCAGTGGCGTAAACCGCGTTCCCATGGCAACCATGGTAAATGAGAGATGGAGCCCTGAGGTAGGATGACAGGGAGGGGGGGGGGAGGGTGGTGGAAACATGTTTGTGTGTGTGTGTGTGTGTGCATGTGTGTGTGTGTGTTCTGAGCGTGCCTGAATGCATGTATGGATTCTGGCGGACGGGTGTGACTTGTGCAAACCAGATCTACACACAATAATAGGCTTTAATGTTGTGTGCAGTCTGTCTGGGGAAATAAAGGCCAACGAGATGTGACAGATGAACGGGAGACAGGGGCTGATATGAAGACAGAGAGCTGAGTGCACACCGTACCCAAACACGTTTAACTCCACTGATTTACATCACATAATGCAACCATGTCGCAATGACGTCTCGCTACACCTTCTGCCTGCGCTTTACTGTTTGTACATCAGTTATGTGTGTGTGTGCTCGATGCCCAAAGCTTTGTCTCCTCCATTTTTGTCTGCAGCCGTGGAGAGACATGAGGTAGCCATGTGGCTCAGTCTAATGGACAATTAATGGGCTTGCAAACAGCTCTGCTAGTACCTAAGTGCCTGCAGATAAAGCAGTTTATCATACTCTGTGTGTGCACATATACACACAGAAATGCGCAAGTCTACACACCTCATGGGCACATACACACCTAGACACAGGCCTGAGGCTTATCACAGTGTGTACACACACTGCTTAGCTTTAGTAAACACTCAACTGACCAGAGATTGTGTTGACTGGTGATGGAGTGTATCGGTAACTGTGGGTTTAACATGGCGATATTGACATGTTGTACAAGGAATGGCAAAAACGTAAATAAATCTGTCATGTAAATGAATGCAATCGGCAGAAAATAAATGCAACAGTGTTTCTCATGTGTCAAAGGGTAGTTCAGACCACTATATAATGCTCCTACATGCTACTATGTTGAGAGTTGTGGATTAGAACAGAAAATGATGCTGAGCCAGGTGCTGTTGCTACATGGGTGAAACGCTAGTGTAGCCCTGACAATAAATACATCAATAAAATGTGATAGACCAATCTGTGCTTAGGCTTTGTGTTAAAAGACAACGCCATTCTAAAACATTAGATATTTAATAATAGTCTTTCACAACTTAAGCCAAATAAAATGATTTAAAAAAAACTTAATTATTAATTTTGAATCTGTTTCAATTCAGAATGTATGAAGTTCATTAAAAGGCTCGTAGATTGTTTTGCACTGTCTTGTGCACAAAATCATGGGTAAAGATATGGCTGTTCTCTTGTCGTAATCACACTAATTTTGAAAATTTGTCTTGGAGAGAATTACTGTCATATTTACACAGCAGAGTCCTTACAATGGCATTAAACTGTCAAAGTTCAAAAATTTACAATGAATCAGCTTTAAAATAGGTTATGGGAATAATATTGTAAAGGATTAATGTAAAAATGTGTCAAAATAAAAGCAAATGTGCACATTTTAGTACTAACAAATGCATTACAGCGCTCAATTGAAACATTTAGTTGCTACAGTTTAGGGCAGGAATGCATGTCCATGTTCTCGTTTACAGACTTTTTTCCTCTGTGGAGGAAATCAGTCAATAAATCACACAACTCAGCAAGAGTCTTCCCTGTATTTATTCAAAAATTTGCAAGTGGTCTTTGAACCACACAGCAAAGGTCTCTGCAGCTAAGCGCAAAGAAAAAACATCAACATCTCTCTTTTATACTTGCGAGAGTAGGAGGAGGAGGCCCGCCCCACGTTTCCGCTGTAAACTTGCTATTTCTTATCTATCTCATGGCTTCTCGTGGACAAACAGGTTCAGGTCACCCTGAACTCTTACACAGAAAGAGCCCAATATCTTTTGCATGAAAGCAGAGAGGATGTGGATGGACAGTTACATTTTCTTATTCAAAGCTAAGTAAATGCACAAAATACAGTAATCACATTTCACAACACATAGCAGGAAATCCACAGGTTTTAATATAAATAATGTCTAAGTTCAATTTAAGTTTAACAGCATCCTGGCCTTTTGTATTCTGGCAGGACTTACTGAGGTACTCTCAAGGCAGACATGTTTATTCTACCAATTTCAACTGTACTTTAATCTTTCTGACCAGTCAAACTCTCTGCTAGGACTAAAGTCTGTAATCTTTACTGCAGTAGGACAAACTGCAGGGAGACCTTGCTAGATTACAGGTGTTCCTGTTATTGTGTCCACCCTGTATAAAAATGGATTATGCTTCATAAAGTGAACTAACTTAAATTACACGGGCAAACTCAGATTTTCAGGGAGGTTCAATAGTGTTAGTCTTTTTAATTATGAATTGAATAAAATTCCTGTTGAGAAATATTGGCTGCTTTAGGCTGACGTTAGGGGGCTAATTCTGCTCGAACCTTGAAACTCAAACAGCTTTGTGTGAATTCTGCACAGCAGTCAGAAAACACAACAAAGCAACAGGATGGGGGAAGGGACATCTGTGTGACCAACCTGGTGAGATCAGCCTGCTGCTGGAGCTGCTCTTGTACTTTACGGCAAACTTCGCCGGCGGTGTCGTAGACTTTACCAACTTTGGTAAACAGGGCTGCGATCTTGTCGCTGCGGAGAAACCCGGCTGCCCGTCTCTTCAACAGGTGACCCAGGCAGGCTTCAATGGCAGCTGGAGAGACAGGAGGACATGAGTCAGGTGTGTTCATATTGACAAAGACAGGAGAGGAGAGAAAGGGAAAGGAACATAGAGGAGAACCGAGAGTAGAAATATTCACAATATTTGAAAGTCAACTGGTTAAAACCAATTTAAAAGTCTGCAACCATTGACTGTGCGCATTAACAAAGAAAGGTGGGCGACATCTTCAATTTATCAGTAAGAAGAAGAAGAAGAAGAAGAAGAAGAAGAAGAAGTGCCCTCTTAAAGCAGTGATGTTCATTGTACTGTAAAACAAATGCTTAGAGCTTCATTGTCAATGGGGCTAAAAACTGAATATGCTTTAAGAGGCAAAAGAGGAAAGACGAGTAGAACCTCGAGGGTTTATAATCATCTATGTACATATGTATTAGGATAGCTTGGTGCTGCAAGACAGCACACCATTCAGTTATTATGAGGCTAGGTTGCTTATTCGGGGCATATGACAAAAAATCTTTGCAGGCTTTACAGGACTCTGCATTGTTGGGTGCACAGTGTGAATGCATTACAAATTCAATGTGGCATGCTGACTTCCTGCATAGGAAAATGATTCCTTGAGACTTCTAAAATTGTCTAAAAGAACTATGAATGCTATGCTAAAATTATTAACTGTTTTATGTTTCCTTCTTTAGTAATGATTTTGAATGGACAGAAGCGTCCATCTGTGCCATGCGATCCAGCAAAACTGAATGTAGCAAATGAATTTGCTTGTGCTAGCTGTTCGGCACAGACAAATGCTTAAGGCACCAAGATGCTGAAGCAGTGAAATGTAGTGACACTAGTACAGTATACATTGGAAGTGAGTACATGTTTGTACAATATCAGTAAAAAATCAACGGCTCAAAATTGCATCACCTCTCAATACCTGCATTATTTCTACAATGAACAACAGGTAGACACTCAATGCAACCAAAGTGAATATACCTATGATCACTGACAAAACTGAGTACACCCGTGGTTCTACAAACAGCCTAACTGCATGAATGTGGCACAAAATCAGCTGTATATACCACTGCTTTCTCAGTTGCCTGACTTGATCATAACGGACCACCTTTGGGGTATTTTAAAGAGAAAAGCAGAGCAAACAACCCTTCCACCAAACAACGGCTGAAAAAACAGTCTGAAGAATGGTAGAACATCTCTCCAGAGGTTTGTGAAACATTGGTATCGTCCATGCTGTGGAGGATTGAGTCATCATCAAAAAATAAAGGTAGATATATGACATTTTGAAACCAATCCAAAATTTGAATCTCCGTAATGACTTCTGTTGTGTGCTACTGTGGAGCCTGTGTTTTCAATATTCTATATCTAAACTGCACAGGGATTACTATTTTTTCTTGTAGAGTGAAATTGGAACGGATGATGTTTACTTGCATTTACATCTTCTTGGGCACCTCTAGCAATCAATTTTCATGGCTTTACAGCAGAGGTTCACAACCGAAACACCTAAGCCTATGGGGGTAAAAGAGCAAGCCTATTAATAAACCGAGAGAGTGGCTTCATACACTATGCAAACGGATTAATAAACCAAGAAACGGATTGCTAAATCTTGTGAATGGTAAATCACGCACACCGAGTTAATTCCTTACCTTCAACCAACCAAGAGGCTCCATAAATAGGCCTGTATTTGATCCTGAATACTAGAGTCACAACCGTTTGTATGAATATATATATATGAATACACTGCTACAGTCTACAAATTTTGATGCACTGCAAATAATGTTACACAAGGCCTGCGCAGGATACCTGTATTAGTTATTTAATCTTTACACGGTGTACCTAATGGTAGTGGATCTACTGGGCTTTAGTTAAAGCTCTTCCATACACAAGTGGGAGCAGGAATATCTCTATGATTGTACAGTGACAAATCCCAAAAAAAAGAGAGCAGCACATTCTCAGATATTGCCAAGACTGCCCCCTAGAGTACAGGAGGAACTGATGGAAAGCTTGTAAATGGAATAAGTCTTTCTAACTTCCTGTGTACATTTTGTTGTCATTGTTTTTATTGCAATCTGTCCAGTCATTACAAAGCTAAAATACCTTTATCTGAACTAAATGTTGGGAAGGTAGTAGTTCTGCAAATTAATAAACTTATAAAGGAAAGAGTAATTGTACGATATGAACATTCTGAAAGTGTGCAACATGAAATGTGTCATTTAGGTTCAAATGGGTTAAACCTTGTAGAAAAAGAACATTTTTGTAGGTTCAAAGCAAGTGTCCTCTCCATCTACTCAACTGTCAACATCCTGATGCGACTGATCTCTTCAATCCACCTACAGGCTTTCTCAGAGTTTTGCTAATGGACTTGTGTGTGGAGATAATGTTATTTGTGAACACTTTCCTGTATATCTCTTGTTCTGGGGTGGGGGGGAAATGACAAGCGCTTATTGAATCAGAAGTAACGCAGTCACCTGAAATGTGATTTCCAGAAGTGAGGTACAGTCGCTAGTCGCCTACAATGCTCTTTAATATTTAGAGCATTAGAGGTGGTTAACCTGAGTGCGGCATGTCCTTCACACTGCGGGTCTATATGTTGTCTGTTCATTACAGATAAAGCTAAGATCACACAAAACTTTAATGATCTCTGTGGGGGGTGTGGGGTGTTATTTGTTAACCTGTGCTCTGACACAAGTACAGTGCCCTCAGTGTTGTCCTCTCTCCAGGCCTTCATGATGAACTCGAGGTCAAGTGGCTCAAGCACTATCTATTTAGTGAGACCGGGCAGTTGCTTGATACCTCCTGGGACGAATTCTTGTGAAAAGTGGTTGTCCACACTTACAGGGTTGGCAGTTCAATCCCCTGCACCCCCACATGTCGAAGGGTCCCTGGGCAAGATACCGAACCCGAAGTTGCTCCCAATGGCAGGCAGGCAGGCACCTTGCATGGCAGCTCTGTCGCCATTGGTGTATGAATGTGTAAAAGAAACACATTGTAAAACACTTTGAGTACCACCAAGGTAGAAAGGCCCTATATACATGCAGACCATAAACCAGGGGTGTCCAGTCCTGGTCCTCGAGGGCCACAGTCCTGCATGTTTTAGCTGTTTCCCTCTTGTAACACACCAGACTCAAATGATCAGGATTGTTAACAGGCTTCTGCAGAGCTTGATGATGAGCAGATCATTTGAATCAGGTGTGTTGGAAGAGAGCAACAGCTAAAACATGCAGGACTGTGGCCCTCGAGGACCAGGATTGGACATCCCTGCCATATACCATATCAAGCAATATCACCTAAATGTCTAAGGTCTTCAAGATGTATCACGTCTACAAAATCTGATTATTTCTAATCTGACGAGTTGAGTATTTTTTATTGGACCTGTGGGCTGTGTCTATCTGTATGTCTGCAATGTGGTTTTGCACGGAAATGAAGTGTCCAAAGAACTGAAAAAAAAATGAAAAAAAGATTGTGAGAAAAATGGAAAAAGACACAGGAAGAGTCTGTCTCTAAGTGTGGCCCTGCGATAGACTGGTGAACTGTCCGGAGTATCCCCTGCCTTCACCCTGAGTCAGCTGGGATAGACTCCAGCCCCCCTGCGACCCTAGTCAGGATTAAGCGGTGTATAGATAATGGATGGATGGATGGACACAGGAAGATCGGTAGCCAGCTAAAAATCTATCACAACACAGCTGTAACAGTAATTAGGAGGTATAGCGCGAGCCACAGTAGCACTGATCAGACTCACAGCGGTCATCTGACAATGACACATGGACAGTGTGGAACTTGCTGGTCAGGACTGCTACAGGTAACGCATAGCCCCGGTAGTGAAGCGCTGAGGTGGCAGTGTTATGATATGGAGCCACATGAGTGCAAAGGGAGATGACACTGACACAAGACAACCCCTCCAGACCAAGCCGAGTTGCAAGTCCTCTTTTCCACAACTTCAAGTCTCAAACTAAAGGCTCTGTATTACACGCAAAACACCAAGTATGCAAAAGTACAAATGCATCGTTGTACACCAAGAGAACATTAGTATATTAGCTGCAGCAGACACACAGAAGTGGCCCAGAGAAATGCATTGACTCATATGCAGAAAATGAGGGAAAAATGGAGGTAAACAGTCTCATTGGAGCAGTGACCCATCCATTAGTCTGTCTCCCTCTGTCTGTAATTGCTGCATTAATGCAAAGCCATAACGAGCGTTTTTAGGGCTGATGGTGAAAGCAGCATTGTGCCGTGATTATTCAAGCAAATGCAAGCAGAGAATTTGTCTCATTCTCATGTCAGCATGTGATTTGAGATTTAATGGATGACATGTTTTAACAAGTGTTAATAGTGTGCTGAATTATTTGTTAGACAAAAATAAAGAAAGGACTACATTCATGCAAATGTTTTCTATGTAAACAGATATCAAACATTGTGAATGTCTTTATTAATTTTAGTTAAAAAGTCCATCTGTAGTATGGCATTCACAGCAGTGTGAGCTTTTGCGGCTGTCTGCTTGCTTTTCCTCTGTGAGGTGAATCCAGGGGATACTATTACAGTGGAATATAATGACCAACAACAACATAATTCTCTGTGATGCTGGGAAAACTAGTGCTTTATGGGAGCAATAGTCTGTTTTTATTGCTGCTTTTGGTGCCTTAGAAGGAGTGAGGTTTTAGCTCAAGAAGCTGTCTGTACAATACAGTCAAGGCACCTTCATTCTGGCAGATTAGCATGTTAACCTACGGTGAAGTATTGTTGGTAATACTTTTGCACTGTAAAACCTTCCTTTATCTCATTAGAAAGGGATAGTCGGGATTAGCTGCTGTAAAGTTTAAGCTGAAGTGAGGGTTTATAGGGAGCGTGTAATCGTCTTGGAGAGAACATTAATGCATGGTTGTTTCTGTGGAAACACAAAAATCGAGTAGAGCAGCTCTCCCATGGGAGAGGCCGCACCCTGCTTCTCTCATTCTGCTGCCTTCCCTCACGACCGGCCTGCTAATTCATGTTTTGGGTGTCTGTGGCTCTGATGAATCATCAAATCCTTTCTATTA